CTTCGTTTAATTCCACGCGAGTGTTCTTCAACCAGTCCGTCGGTGGCTGGACTCCTGAAAACTAGACTTCCTGTTGGGGAATGATAGTAGTGTTTGCTATCATGCCGTATCATTGTGTATAAAAGAGTGTTCTATTGAGTACGGTTCATTCTTTGTGCTAGCTCCAATAAAGACTACACAGTCGTCTGGTGAGTTACACCGAGTGGCGATCAGGATCAGGATCGAAGAAACAGCGAAGACTCCAGCGGCGAAGTTATAACAAGAATAACGGAGACAAGATGCCCAAGGCATCTGGAGATGGAGCTCCCCCTGCTCACACTACACGGCTCGAGGTACTCATTCAAACTATAGTCCAACAACTACAATTTCAGCATGAAGGGATGAAAATGTTGTTTTCCTCGTTGGCGCCAAACAAAGAAGGCGCACAAGAGGTCTAGAAGAATCAATATGACCAGCTGAACAAGGATGTCGAGAAGTTTGTAGCAGATGAAGATGCTGGACAGACTTTTGACTACTGGTTCAAGAAGTACGGACCTATCATAAGAGATTCGAGTATTCCAGAAGATAAGAAGAGAGACTTTGTCCTACTGAAGCTCTATGATGCCGCATATCGTAAGTATGCAGATGATATTTTACCTTCACAACCGCACGAGATTGATTCCAACACGACGGTGAGGGATCTTCATAAATGTTCACATCCAAGTAAACTTTGATACGTAGGCGTGACGAGTGTTTGAGGATAACGTGTCCTCCTCTCACTCTTGATAACGTACCATTCCGTGATTACGCGAACACAACTAAAAGGATGGATGAAGATGCCGCGCACAAGGATATGGATTACACGTCAGTGAAGACCTTGCAGTTCGTGGCGGGACTTCAGGACACTTCAATGGAGGGAATACGTCTCAGAATGCTTCGTCGACTTGATACGCAAGCAGAAGACGCGCCTCTCGCCATCGAAGATCTCGTTGCAGAATGCGAAAATATACAGCATTGAAGGTGGATAATGCAAACACGGAAGCAAGCCATGATGTGCATGCCGTGCAGTAAAAGAAGGTCAATTGCTTCAAATGTGGAGGACCCCATTACAAAACCTTCTGTCCCCTTCTCATGAAGCAGTCTTCGAAGGATGCACCACCGTCACAAGAGGAATAAATGCAAAAATGTTGCTGCATTCTCCGCTGAGCACGCTAGGACACATATCAACGTCGATGTCCGAGGACACAAACTACGTTTTCAACTGGACACTGGAGCAGATATAACGTTGATATCGCGTCACACATGGAGAAGGCTAAACCTTCCTCCTTTAGAACCTTACACTACGCCAGTCAAGACGGCAGATGGATCGTCAATGAAAATAATCGGAAGATTTCATACCGAATTCCCTGTAAAAGGCCGAATCAGTGGTAAACAGCATCACGGAAATGGCTACTGTTACGTTACTGAGAGCACAAACCTACTTGGTTTAGAGTGGTGCACTCAACTTCCTGCATATAAAGAGTTGCAGGAGAAGTATCGCTGCCGTATGGTGAAGGAACCAGAAGCTACCAGGAATTCCTTAGTTGCAGATCTGATGAAGCAGTGCGCAGAGGTCCTCGAGATGTCGTCGACCACAATAAAGGCAACTCTGAGAGAGCTCAAAATGCTATTCGCGCGGTTCGAGAATTTAGATGTGATTGTGTCAGGCAATAGAGCACAGTTCACATCAGAAATTTTCCAAGAGTCTTGTGACAAGCAAGGTATAAAGCATTTTGGTCCATTGCCCCTCCAAGGACAAGCAGAGCGTTACGCCAGTACTGTGAAGAGATCCTCACCCAAACCAAAGGAAAGAGACAAGCCAGACCTCCTTGCAGAGTTTCTGTATTGCTATCGAAGGACGCCGTGTACCACGACTCCCAAGCAACTTTCGCAAGCCGAATTATTGACGCTGCTGAAGGGAAAGGGATCACACAAGACAGTGGTGGAAAGACAGTTTAATCCTCACCACGGAGCACGTGAAAGATCGTACCATATTGAACATCCTGTCTGTATTCGGAACTATCGTCCTGGACAGCAGAAGTGGATTCCTGCCCACTGCCCACGTGAAAAACCGTTATGGACGAGTATTGTACGACGTTTTAACGGAAGACGTACAATTGTGGAGAAGACACACAAATCAAGTGTGAACCAGATCATAACCAAGTGCCACCGATCGAACAACGAAAACGGCTGGTGAACCTTCTCAGCATGAAAGTCCACAAGAAAAGTATAATGAAGTGCACAATGAAGAAGCGCAACCCATGAGAGATCCCAGTGATGAAAATATGAACCGAAATGCAACGGCACTTGTATTGGATAGAATGAACTGACAACGCCGTCCACCCGATCGTCTTCAAGTACGCTCGAGGATGAAAACATATATGTGATACATTCATTATAAGGGGTAGATGTTGGGGAATGATAGTAGTGTTTGCTATCATGCCGTATCATTGTGTATAAAAGAGTGTTCTGTTGAGTATGGTTCGTTCTTTGTGCCAACTCCAGTAAAGGACTACACAGTCGTCTGTGGAGTTACAACACTTCCCTTTGGCCCTTTGCTGCTATTCATATTAAGGTCCAGCTTTCCCACTCGTGCACGTTCATCTCCTCACTACGGACCTTGTTCATCTTAGGTTGCCATTTGGTACAACACGATAAGTTCAGGAAAGGAAGTATAAGTAGGAAAAAAGAAAATGAATGGAAATGAAAGAAAGAAAAAAGAGACGATGGGAAAGCACCTACACTTTATTCTGAGGAATATTAGCCCATGCAGATACCATTCAAAGGGCCTATCGAATCCATACCACAGCCCCTCGTTTTCTGCAAACCTTGAAAACCACAATGCGTATCTCAGGCCTAACTGGCGAATGGCCTGCTGTAACTAATTACTTTTGCATACATGGTGCAATTAGAAAGCCCCATGACGAGCAAAGCGATGTACATGAATGAGAACCAAGTGCCATGACGGGTAGAAGCGACGGTCCTCCTTAATCTTGTTTGTATTATGGTGGCTTTGAATGAGCTAAATACGATGACGAAATAAAGCGGTAGTTGCAGACGGTGTTCCACGGAAACATTTTCATCCATCGTCGTGTGTGGCATCGAAGAATCGACATTATAGAACCATATTGCGCCGGGCCCATCCAGTACAATGTTGTGGCTCGCTGAGCAACGACTATTGCAATTGCTATATGATCGCGAACATGATATTTTACCTATGCTAAGACTATGTATTCACATTTGTTCAGAGGATCATTCTATTGCAGACTAACATCTAGCGCGACATCACTGTTATCCCGTTCACCCTGCTGACAATCAATCAGAGAGTATATTTTGTGGAGCGTTTATCCAGCATATTGACTACAAGAGCAGTTCCCGAGAGTGAAAGCGACTCCAATGGGAAAGGCCCAATATACACAGAAACTCCAAATGCATGGGCACCTCTCTTTCGGGGAATCCTGTTTTTCTACCCAACTTATACAGGAACTAGCAGAATCCTACTTATATAATCGGCTAAGTGTGTCTGTTGGTGTGTTTGTGTGTGTGTGTCAGTATGTGTGTGTGTTTGTCTGACCGGAAATTCATAACTCCTGTCCCACTGAACCTAGA